GATTTCCTTTTCAGAGTTATCTTTCTCAGTGTAGAGGAATCCAATTGATTTTTGTATGTTGCTTTTTGTACCTTGCCACTTTGTTGAATTTTTCTATTAGTTACAATAGTTTTCTTGTTGAGTATCTGGAATTTCCTATGTATGGCATCGTATCATCTTTGTAGTGATAATTTTACTACTTCTTTAGCAATTTAAAATGAAACTCCCTTCCCATGGAGTAGATTTCCACTCATCATGTTTTATAGGACAGAAAAGAACCTGCCCCATAGACTTTGTAAGGCTGTAAGTCTTTATGGAAGCAGACTACCTCATCTTTTCCCTGGAGTGGCTTATGGGTTTGAACAAGCAACCTTTTTGGTTAGCAGCCAAATGTTATAACTACTATACCACCAAAGCACCTTTTAGCAACATGGATGCCTTTTATTTCCTTTTGTCTTATTGCTTTGACTAAGAGTTCCAATACAACATGAATAGGAATGGTGATAAACACATCCTTGTCTGATTCCAGTTCACGTGGGGAATGTTTTTCCTCTCTCTCTCCACTGTGAATAATTTTGGCCATTTATTTTGTGTACATGCCTTGGTAGGTGTTTAGCTCATAGGCCTTTCTATTGTTTGGCTAAGAGTTAAGCCACAGGAGTGAGTGAGGATGAATTGAGGCCATAGACTTGGGGGTTTCACTAGTCTCTGTTAGACCAGTAAGGCTGGTTTTCTTTCTATTATCATTTAAAAAATTTTCTGTTTATTTCTGCTCTAATCTTTATTATTTCTTTTTTTAAACACATTTTATTGAAATATAATTTAAGTACAGTTAAATACACAAAACTAGTGACATGGGTCAATGCATGTGTTTTTTTTTTTTTTTTGTTTTTTTTTTTTGCAGTGTTCCCTTTCCTGCTCTCCCACCCCTGGCAACCAACAAAGAAAGTTTCCCTCCATATAGAAACCTTTCCTTGACCCTCCACAACAACGAACTAATAGTATATTTGTCCTTCTGTGATTGACTTATATCACTCAGCATAATGTCCTCCAAGTTCATCCATATTATGTGGTGTTTTGCAGACTGTACATTATTCTTTAGTGCTGCATAGCATTCCATTATGTGTATGTAACATAGTTTGGTCATCCACTCTTTCGCTGGTGGGCACCTAGGTTGTTTCCATCTTTTTGCTATTGTAAATAGTGCTGTGATGAACATGAGTGTGCATATATCTGTTCTGTCCAGGCTCTCACTTCTCTAGGATATATACCTAGTAATGGGATTGCTGGGTCAAATGATTTCCAATTCCAGCTTTCTAAGGAATCCCCATACTTCTTTCCACTGTGGTTGCATCACTTCATGGTGCCACCAGCAGTGTATGAGAGTCCTTATCTCTCCACATCCCTGCCAGCATTTCTCATTTTCTGTCTCGTTGAACCTTGCCATAAGTGCTGCGGTGAGATGGTATCTCGTTGTTTGATTTCCATCTCTCTGATGGCCAGTGATTGTGAGCATCTCTTCATGTGTTAGCTGGCCACCTGAATACCCTCCTTGGTGAAGTGTCTTTTCATGTCTTCTGCCCATTTTTCAATTGGATTGTTAATTCCTTTGGTGTTGAGACATTGGAGTTTTCTATAAATCTTAGAGATAAGTCCCTCACCAGATATGTAATTATTGGCAAATATGAATTTATTGCTGTCATTTTTGTTATGTGCTTTTTCGAGGTGTTTATTTTCTTTGTTACATATAATTTTCTATACTGAGCTTGTTTAGTTTATGAATCGTGTTATCACTTCCTTTGTTGCTATTGTTTTTGTTGTTGTTGTTATGTGCCGTCAAGTCAGACCCAACTCATAGCGACCCCTCCTTCGGTTTCCAAGGCATTATCACTATGGAAGTAGATTGCCCCATCTTCCTTCCGAGGAGTGGTTGGTGGGTTTGAACTGCCAGTCTTCTGGTTAGCAGTCAAGTGCTTTAGGCACAGTGCTAAATATTTGTTCTGGTCCTCTTTTTTTATTTTGATGTGAAGGTTTATCATTTTTCTTTGCAGTTACCCTGTGATTTATAGTTTTCTTCCCAAGTTTAGAACAGTCTGTTCTATCTTGTAGTTGTCTTGACATCCCTACCATCTAGAAGTTCTGTAATGACACAGTTATTTCCCTCTTTTTGGTTTATAGTTGTCCTCATTTGTCAGCTGGTGTTTCTGGTTCCCTGTTTACAATCTTGTAGGCTTATTTGCTTTGGATACTTCCATAGCTGGGTTGGTTTCTGGGTAATATCATCATGTGTGTTAAAGGTCAGTTGTTGGCTGTTATTGCTTCTCTGTCCAAAGGGCTCCCTTTAGCATCTCCTGTAAGGTTGGTCTGGTTTTAACAAATTCCCTTAATTTCTACTTACCTGGAAATGTCCTAATTTCACCATCATATTTGAAGGACAGTCTTGCTGGGTACATAATTCTTGGTTGAAAATTTTTCTCTTTCAGGGTTTTAGATATACCATCCCACTGTCTTCTTCCCTGCATGGTTTCTATCGAGAAATCTGAGCTTAGTCTTATTGGTTGCCCCTTGTAGGTAACTTTTCGTTTTTCCTGTGCTGCTCTCATGATTCTTTCTTTGTCTTTGATTTTGATCGTGAATTTGATGATGATATGTCTTGGTG